AACAGATTTACTTGGACCAATTGTTAGGAAAGCCCTACTCTATCCAAATTAAATAGATTTCTAGTAACACAAGAGTAGGAGGATCATTGGGGGGATTTGACAGGTAGAATATTACCTAGGCTAACGTTGGATCACTAGCCAATTTGTCTTACTCAAGAAGGGAATGGGGGCGAACCAAAGCCTTTTCGGTTTGAAAATATGTGGCTCACAGTCCCGGGCTTTGTGCAAAAGGTGAGAAACTAGTGGGAGGACACCTCGGTGGCTAGATGAGAAGGGATTAGATTCCATAGAAAGCTTAAGAATTTGAAAAGAAAGATAAAGGAGTGGAATTCCAATCAGTTTGGGAGGATTGAAGAAAGAAAGTCTACCTTGATTAGTCGGATTGAAGATATTGATAGAAAAAAGGAAAAAGGACAAATGGGCCTGATCGAGAAGGAGGAGAGGACAAATTTGAAAAAAGAGTTGGAAGTTACATTGTTGAGAGAGTAAATATCATGGAAACAAAAGTCAAGAGAATGTTTGATAAAGGAAGGTGATGGGAACACTAGATACTTTCATGCAATCGCAAATGGTAGGAGAAGAAAAAATTGCATCTCTATGTTGGAATTGGAAAAGGAAATTATCATCACATAACAGAATGACATCGCAAATGCTTTTGTGGATCACTTCAAACAAATTTATAGAAGGTTAGTAGAGACTAGACGGATCTTAGAGGGTGACATGGCCTGTTTTAGATAGCACCTTTAGTAGAGAATTAGAAAGTGATTTTAAGGTGGAAGAAGTGAAAGCTGCTATTTTCTCTATGGATAGGTCTAAGGCTCTGGGTCTAGATGGATTTACCATGGCTTTTTACCAAGATTGTTGGGAGTGGCTTAAGGAAGATTTAATGAAGGTTTTTGAGGAATTCTATCACAGAGATGATAAGTAGAGGGGTTAATGCTACTTTTATTGCGTTGATTCCTAAGAAATCAGGAGCATGTCACCCCAAGGACTTTAGACCAATCAGCTTAGTGACAAGTCAATACCAAACCATAGCCAAGGTTCTCTCTAACTGCCTAAAGAAGGTACTTCCATCAATCATATCACAGTATCAATGAGCTTTTATCAAAGAAAGACAGACTTCATATCAGCTACTTATTTCAAATGAGTGTGTAGAGGATTTTAGGAAGAATGGGAGGAAAGGTATTGTGTGCAAGTTGGATCTGAAAGAGCCTACAATTTTGTGGACTAGGGTTTCTTAATTGAAGCTTTGAGCAATTTTGGTTTTGATGCAAGTGGATTAGAGATTGCCTAAAATCTTGTCATTTTTCAATCTTGGTGAATGGGACGGTTATAGATTTTTTTGGTGCTATGAGAGGCCTGAGACAAGGGGATCCTCTTTCACTATTTCTATTTACTATTGTTGCAGAGGTGTTCAGCAGATTGATCACAAAAGCGGATGAAATGGGTGTCTTAAGAGGGTGGAGAGTGGGGATAGATAGGGTGATGGTAACCCATCTTCAATTTGCAGACGACATCATTAGTTTTTGTGAGGGGGAAGGTGAGGAGGAGACTAGGAATTTGAGGAGGTTATTGAGCTTGTTTGAGATGTTGACAAATTTGAAGGTTAATCTCAATAAAAGTGTAGTAGCTAGGGTAAATATGGGGTAGGAGGAGTTGGAACTATGGGCAGGGAAACTCAAATCTATGTCCAGTGATTGGCCTATGAAGTGCTTAGGACTCCCTTTAGGTGCAAACCCTAGGTTTATGACCTTCTGGAGCCCGGTAGTAGAGAGATTTGAGAAGAAGTTAGCGGCTTAGAAGATGAACTATATTTCTATGGGAGGTAGGATAACCTTAATCAAATCCACCTTATCTAACATTCCGGTCTATTACCTATCGGTGTTTAGTGTACCTCAGGTGATTGCTAAGAAGTTGGAGAAAATTATGCAGGTTTTCTTGTGGGAATCGGGAGAAACAAAGAAGGATCACCTAATCAGGTGGAAAATAGTTTGTAAACGGAAGGAGGATGGAGGGATGGGGTTAGGAACGCTGAAAGAAAAGAATCAGGCTCTTCTGGGGAAGTGGTTGTGGAGATTTCCGAGAGAATCAGACAGGTTATGGCATAAAGTGATCGCTAGTATTCATGGGTTCTCTGTGAACGGGTGGGATGCTGAAACTTCTAGCAGAGCCTCTTGCTTTTCACCCTGGAGAGCAATTCAGAAATGCCTTCCATCCTTTCTCAATCACATCAGATTCAATTTTAATTCAGGCAACAAGATCAAGTTCTAGGAGGATCTTTGGGTGGGTAAAGTCCCTTTAAAGGTTTCTTTCCCTTCTTTATTCACCCTTTCTGCTCTCTAGGGTAAGCCAATTTCTGAGTTTCTACTCCCCTCTCCCTCAGCTAACAGGCTTGGGTGGAATCTAGGTTTTCGTAGAAATGTGAGGGACACTGAATTAAGCCTTCTTTCAAATCTTCTACACATTCCTAAAGGGATTTTCCCTTACTTAAGTAAATAAGATGATATAATTTGGACTCTACATCATTCTGGGGTTTTTAGTTGTACTTCTTTTTTCAAATCGTTGTATGTGCCTTCTCAACCAAATACTCCCTTTCCAATCAAAGAGATCTGGTGTCATCTGATTCCCCCCAAAGTGAGTGCTTTTTGTTGGGAGGTCTTCCATGGTGCAATCAACACTTGTGATATTTTACAAAGGAAGAGACCGGGATGGTACCTCTCCCCTAATTGGTGTTGCTCGTGTGAATCCAATGGTGAATCTGCTCTTTACTTGTTCATTTCGTATCCTTTTGCTTGTGGTATTTGGGATCGATTCTTCTCTTTTTGGGTGCAGGTGGAATACTCTGGACAGATTGGATAGGTTGTTCGATAGATCCACTTTCAGCTAGCCAAAAAAGAGCGAAAGACTGATGTGGAGGTGCACAAGAGCAGCAATAATATGGACCCTATGGGAGGAAAGAAATAAATGTATATTTGAGGAAAATAAAAGAAGCAAGGAAGCATTAATTGAAGGGATCATGGCAAAAGTGGCCTTCTGGATAAAGACTTTGGAGTTGTTCTTAGATTTCTCTATTGATGATATATTAAGGAACTGGAGAACAATTGCAGCCTCAACTTCAGCTAAGCGGAGGACACAAAAGGAATGGGAACCCCAAGAGGTAGGTTTCCTTAAATTAAATTTCGATGGAAGTAGTTTTGGGAACCCAGGGCCCTCTGGAATTGGAGGGGTTCTAAGGAATGAAAGCAGAGTGATTTTGGGAATGTACTCAGGTCCCATTGGGGTGTGTGACTCTATAACAACAGAATTGAAGGCAATACTTTATGGGATGCAGAAATCTTTGGAAATGGGGTTCTAGAAGCTAATAGTTGAAGGCGACTCCAAAATAGTAATAAGTTGGTTTAAGCAGAATGAGAAGATTCCTTGGTTTTTCAGAAATAATTTCAAACAGTTCAAGAGGTTCTCAAGGGATATGCAGCTGATATTTCAATGGGCTCCTAGGTCGGCAATTGAAGGCGACTCCAAAATAGTAATAAGTTGGTTTAAGCAGAATGAGAAGATTCCTTGGTTTTTCAGAAATAATTTCAAACAGTTCAAGAGGTTCTCAAGGGATATGCAGCTGATATTTCAATGGGCTCCTAGGTCTGCAAATGGCTTAGCTGACCATCTAGCAACGCAAGGGGTAAACAGAGCAGAGTGCTTTTGGGCTCAATCGTGAGACTCATCATCAATTTGTCTATGTTTTCTATTGTTGGTAGCCAAGGCTGCCCATGTTTCTGTATTATCTTTTTTCTCTAAGTAACGAAATCTACTTTGATTACTGATCAAAAAAAAAAAAAAATTGAAAATTTTCAACTATGGACTTGGGTGTTCAGACCCATTGAAAATTTGGCAAATTCCTAACCCAACACAACCCAAATTATAACCCTAGCACCCATCCAGATGCACATGCTCTCCTGATAGTCTAAACTATATATACACAAAGTTGTCATTCAGTACAAACAACGAAGTTGGTTAAAGAGCCATTTCCCATAGTCACAGTCACAGGATAGGGATCCCAATGGATTTGTTGAAATTGCAAAGCTACCTTTCACCCAAACCTATCAGATTGGATTAGTTGAATTTCAACCAGGTAGGTTGGGTTTGTAAGAAGGGTAAACCCACAGAGAACCACAACCACAACCAGTTGGCATCACTAGGCCATAGTTTTTCTTTCTTTTCCACGTTGTTGGAAGTGTTGTAATGTTATTGGGTTAAATGCTTTGTTAATGGTGTGTTTGTGTTATATAAATATCTCTTGTTAGAAGAACACTTGAAATAATGTTCTTTTTTCTCTTTAAATGAAACAAACTACATTTATTATAAACCATTTTTTCCCCTGGAGAGAAGGAAAACTCCAAAACTTGAGCGGCGGAGAGACCCCAAGCATCCTCAATAATCACTATATTCACAGACTCGAGATCTTAACCTCTCCAATTTCTTTGGAATAGACCTGTTCATAGGCCAGGCTCAGGTTGAGCTTTTGCCATAATTTGAATGGGCCCGGCCTGAAGCGCCCGAAATCCCTCCAGCCCATGAACAGGACTCCTTGAGAAGAATGGTCCACATTGACTAGAAGGTCAGCTGTTTATAAGTTTATTGCTTTCATGAATACACAATAGGTGACAGATACAAATTCAAGAAACTTCTATAACAAATGACATGGTGACATATAACCTTCACTGAAAAATTAGATGCCATTGATGGGTCAGGTCGGCCGGAATTGACCATGTCACTGCAGGGTTGGATTTGCGTTGAGTGCCTTTGGGTCTGGAACAGGTTGAGCCAAACCCATAATAAACCTGACCGATTAACATTCCTTGTGGATCTTGAGAAGGCTGGATATAGACCTACCCTTTAACACTGCCTCTCAGACTCAAACCTGTTTCTAGAGGGTCTACATACAATTTTCCATTATGTCCAAACTGAAAAATAGAGAAAAGGTGAATAGGGAAGCAAGAATCAGAAGCCAAAAAAAGAAAGGTAATTGAAATTGAGGAAACAAAAAAGAGTAACATGAACATTCAAAGAGTGTCACTTTAAATAACAAATTACCCATCTAGCGTTTTACCTCTAAAACCTACATGTATATATAGACTTGTAAGTTATAAAATCAAATGGATCAACGCTTGCAAAGCAAAGCCAACCTTCTGCCCCATAAATTTCTTTAGCTTACCTCCATTGTGAACCCAAATACATCAACCATGCAAGACAGCAGAAACGAAGGGCACATGTAGCCCCAGTTTAAAGTCAACTCAATCCAACAGATCCGATATGGCAGTCTTCCTAAACGGGTCTACCTGCGCTAGCATTGCTGCCATCGCTTTGTCTGGGAATATGTTGTCTGCCTTTAACCTTTCCCTGAACCCATATGCTGGGGCTTTGGCATTTATGTAAGCCTGGAGGAGAGTATGATACTGTGGAATCCGATTCAGATACCCAGACTGCCTCAATCTATGGAGTATTTTTTCAGCGTTATGGACATCACCCCTCTTTGCATACTGATCCAAGACGACCATGAATGAGCTGAATAGTGGCCTCGTCTTGAACTGCTGTGTTGCCTTCTGCAGGATTGAGTCTGCTTTCTCCACCTCTCCAGCCTCCACACAGAGCTTCACAAGTGCATCCCATGTCAATGCATCAATACGGCATCCACTATCAATCATCCGCTTCGCAAGTTCCTTCCCCTTGGCTAGCATCTTATGATCTGCATAAACTTTCAAAAGCAAACTATAGCACCTGCGGTGGACCTTCTTCCATTTCTTGGTCATCATCTCAAAGACCGACTCAGCCTCCTCTATCTTTCCCAGCTTGCCCCAAGCTGAAATGGCAGCAAGACACTCCTCAAACCAGGGGTCCTGCTCACATACCTTCCAGACTCTACTGACCTCATCAGCTTTGCCAAGGGCTGCATAGATAGGAAGTATGAACTTAAAAGCAGAACGGTTCTCTTTCACATCCCCCCTTTCCATCTCCTTCAAGACCTCCTCTGCCTTCTCATTGAGCCCTGCGTCAGCATAGTGTCTAGCAATAGTAGCTTGGGTTTGATTGTCAGGTTCAATTCCATCGGCTTTCATGGTCTCTACCAATTGATCCAATCCTAAAATGTCATTCGACTGGCCTTTAGCATCTATTAAGAGCCTATATGTGAAGAGAGTTGGTTGGACATTTTCCTTCTCCATCAACAATAGCACATCAGCTATTTTCTTTTTGTCAAGCCTCTTGTACAGAAGAAGTAACTGGTTGCAAGAAAATGCTGTAATTGGGAACTTCAGATCCTTCATTTTGTTGAACACCGCATTTGCTTTCATCATGTTGCCAGCACCAACACAGTTGGCCAAGAGGGTTCTGTAGATAACTTCTCCTCTGAATGATTCCGGGATACTTTCAATGTACTTTTCAGCCTTATTGAGACCATGTACTTTGGCAATTAAATCAACACGAGAAGCATAATCACGCTCAACATAATCAAGGTGCTTGTTTCTCTCCAACCACTCCATAAGCTGAAAGGAAAATACATAACAAAGCCAAACATCCAAACGGGAATTACATACAAAGAGGTTCAGAATCAGAAAGGAAAAAACAAGATACAACCAGAATGTCTCAAAAGAAAATAGTTTAGGAATGCAAATTTTATTTTCTCCCTGAAATTTTATCCAAAACTACAAATTCTCCAATAAATTGCACTTCAAAATCTCCCATACAAAACCTAAGCAGAATCAAAACTTATTTTAACTTGCCATGTTGACTTTGACATCCACATCATCTTTTTTTTTACTCATTGAATTTAAGGAAGTTTGAAATCTTTTTTTACTCATCCTATTTTGTTATTTCAAGTAAAAATCATTATAGAAAAGTTTGAACTTCTATCTTGGCATTAATCAAATATTCTAATTAAAAGATGCCTATCAGAATATACATATACAACCAACAGGAAACCTTACCTACCAGCTAGTTAGCACCTTGCAAAAATATATATTCTGAGTAAAGATTATGATTAAAATTTTACACTTATCGTGCACAAATACAAAGAACCAAAGTATAGGGAAGATTTTGTAATTTGAGTATCAGGGAAAAAGTGAAATTCATACTTAAATTGAGCGACTTTTAGTATTTTATGACTGTTTATTGTAAGGGTAAAAATGACATTAACATTAAATTTTATGAGAGATTTTTGAAATTTGACATTAATATTGGGTAAAAATGTATAAGTTAAAGTATGGGGGAGAATTTATAGCTATATGCAAAATTCAAGGGAAACGGTGAAAATGCAAAATCCATGTCACAAGTAGAGATGGCAATGGGGCAGGTTCGGGGAGGTTTTGTAAATTCTAGACCCCACCCACCTCCCTAGACCTCCCAACCTATACCCACCCCAAAACCCATAGAGGGTTGGATTTTCAAAATCCAAACCTTCCCTGCACATGACAATGCGAAATCCTCTCTGCATTTGAGGGTGGGGTGTGTTTGGTTGGCAGGGTGGGTCTAGAACCTGTATCTAATTTCTTATTATTTCCTGTTATATATAAGCAATAAACAAGTAAAATAACATGAACAACCATTAAAATTTCTAATTATTTGATTAAAATATGTAGAAAACACATAAACTATTAATTATCCTTCACATAAATTTAAAATATTAGTAAATTCAACACTTAATACATAAGTTCGCATGCCTTCCAACAATATGTAGGTCGGGGAGGGTCGGATTTAGCCTAATACTGTACCCTACCCATACTCGTATGGGTTGTAAAATCCCAAAACTTGTATCTGCGCAAAATCTGATTTTCAAGCAAAAGAACCTACCCCATTGAGGCGGATAGGGGTGGGTACCTGCCAGGTAGGGTAGAAAATGCCATCCCTAGTCACGAGTCACTGGTTCAATCACAAAGGTCAAATTGGTCAACTCAATGAGGCATTATCCTATAGATTTATAATAATAATATATATAATATGCATAATCATATAATATATACATATTCAAAATATATTATTATATTCTGCATATAAAACATATATTTTTTATTTTAGTTTTAAAGTTTTACACTAAAAATTAAGATTTAAGGACAAAAAAGGCATTTTTGGCAAAAGGTTAAACTACACTAATGTTGTTACTGAAGGAGATTGTAAGGTTGTCAAGGGAGATTGAAGAGCAATCAGGAAGGGATGTGGATTATATGGAACTATTGTTTTCTCCATTTAAAATTAGTTTTTTATGGAACTAGAGAACTAACCTAAAATTAGTTTTTCTTTTATAAAATTCTTATCAACTAGGCAACACCCAAGCACTCCACTATCACCTAGAATCTCCTTGACGCCTTTTTTTTATCAATAATTGTGGATTGAATTAATATTAAAAATATGAGAAAATTACAGGGCAAGGGGGCTAAACAATCCTAGCTCCCAAGAACAACCATTAAGCATCAAAAGAACAAAAATTACAAGACAGCCCAAAAAATAGAATGTTTGTTCACCCCTTGTCTAGCTAGACCATCTGCCAAAGAGTTCGCACTTCTTTTTACCCATTTGTATTGGATTTCCATGTCCTTAGTCAACCACTTGAATTTCCTCTTTTCATTACTGTAATTCCAAAATCTAAGACTATCCTTTTTCAGCCAGTTTACCACCACTTCAGAATCTCCTTCTATGATCAACTTGTTAATATGCATATCTTTGATTCTTTGTACCCCTTCAAGGGCTGCAAGAATCTCAGCTCTCAAAGAATCTCCCACCCCAAGTGGTCCAGAATACATAGCTAACAGCTTCCCTTGTTCATCTCTTATTACTCCTCCTATTACAGATGGCCCTGGATTGCCCAAGCTGCTACCATCAAAGTTCAGTTTAACAATGTCATGGGGTGAGGGGATCCAACAAACATTTGAGGCCTTCCTCATTGGAACAAGTTCTGCTATCACCTTCCACTTTCTTTGCAGTTCATCAACTGAGAATTCTGGGAACATAGCCAAGGTTTTCAGCCAGTGTATAACCCTAATGTGGATGACCTCCAGCATTGCTTCCAATCTCTCCTTATCTGTAAATATTCGTGAATTTCTCTCCTCCCAAATAGTCCAACAGACTGCAGCCCTCATACACCTCCACATAAACTTGGCCCTTTTTGTTGGCCGAAACGGCATACATGTGAATAGGCTTTGCACATTCGAAGGGGGGGGTCCATCGGCACCCAAACAAAGAAGTACACCACTCCCAAATGATGTTAGCGAACCGACAGGAGATTAGTAAGTGATATCCAGACTCACTATCAGCTTTATAGAGGACACACCAGTGAGGACAAAAACAACTATTGGGTCTTGTTCTTTGAAGTAAATCTGTTGTGTTAACTCTTTCCAGAAAGGCTTCCCAACAGAAACTCCCAACCTTAGGAGGTATAGGATGACACCACACCTCTTTAACAGGGAAAGGAAAGCCCATAGAAGAAGAATGTGTGAGAGAGCTAAAGAAAGAGGCACAAGTGAAAGAACCAGAGGGGGTGTGAGTCCAAATTTGTGTAGTGTTTTAAAAGCACAAGGCGCAAAAAAAAAAACGCAAGGGACAATTTATGTCAATAAAAATATAAACTTAAATTTTAAAATAAATGTTTTAAAAAACCTATTATTTAAAATTAAAATACATAAACATAACATGTAAAGCGTACCCAAATGAAAATTTAAAAATAAAAGCAAACATATAAAGCATTTTCAAGCATGCAAAACCCACAATCTCTTTTTCTCCTTAACTTCATTGCTTCAAGTAGTTAATGTGGTGTAAGACATATTGCATTCTTGATTCTATGATTCGCCTTTGTACCATGCCCCTCGAGGCAAGCCCGAACAAGTCTATGTTAGGGTTTGAAATTCTTATTTCTCACATAAAAATAATGATTTTATAACTTTCATTGCCTTTTAAGAAGATATTTTATTGCAATGAATGAATGAACAACCTTAGCAAATAGGGAGTTTTCGGAGCTTGTTTGGGCTTGCCTCAAGGGGTGTGGTCGGGGGTCCAGGGGTGTTGCCCCCGACCCAACCGTTAGACTCAAAAAACAACAAAAAGCACAAAATTTTAAAAAGGTGCACAACTGGGCTAAGGCGCAAGGCACATCAAGTGTGCGCCTTTTGAAAGGGGTGCACCTAGGACCCGGGTGAGGCGGCCTCGCCTGTGCGCCTAGGCATGCCTCAGGCACACCTTTTAAATCACTGGCCTTGACAACCACAAGGACAACTAATGTCAAGAATTACATCCTCCCTAACCAAAATAAGAATGGAAATGACCAATTCAAGCAGATATCACTGAGTTTTTTTGGCAACACTATAACTATAGGGTTACTTTTCTTGGGGTGCTTGTTACTGTTTATCATTATGAATTCATGAATGAAAGTTACTTTTCCAATCAAAAAGAAAAGTACCCGATCGGGCATGCCCAAGCTCATAAGCAAGGCTTCTTTTATGAGATGTGCATCGCCTGAACCAAGTGCACCTTACACTGTTGCTTTTTTTTAATGAACTAACCTTAATTTAATGTTGAATAGATAGTTTACTACATTGTAAGCTTTACCCATGATTTTTGGAGTTTAACTCATGTACAACCTTAAAATATAATGTTATGACATTCATGTTGATAGCACACTGCTCTAACCACTTCAACTAATAAGCTTTTTGATTTTTTTTTATCAGCAACACAAATGAAAATTTCAATCATTAAATAATTAAATGACTTGAGAGGTGTAGGATAAGTGGGAGTCCTCAGCCAAAAGTGAAATACCACTACTTTTAACGTTATTTTACTTATTCCGTTAGTCGGAGGCGGGGCATCGCCCCTCCTTTTGGACCCAAGGCTCACCTTGGCAGGCCGATCTGGGTGGAAGACATTGTCAGGTGGGGAGTTTGGCAACCAGCCATGCACATCCGGTGCACAGTGATGCACAGCATGGGGCACACCACATGCAGTCAGCCAATGCACATCCACTTGCACCATGACACACCACAGGGGCACCATGTGCACATCCCCTACACCATGACACACCACATGGGGCACAATCACATCAAGGCCCAAAATATTTATTGTCTATTAAACACCCTGCTTTGCCATGCTATTAGCTGAGCTTTGTACCCAATAATTTCCAATATGCGAATCTTTTGAGAACCATTTAAATACTCTAATTTCATTTTCTGAAGCACCATGCAGCATATGCCTCCTACGAAACTCAACTGAGAACCACCTTGAGTCCACCTTCAATAATCAATCTTTCAGATCCCATCTCCTTGGCATTCTGTTACCCTAAATTTTATCTATATGTACTTAAAACAATAGAATTTACCACTTACACAATGGAGACCTACAATGATATAATCAAGTTTACCTTGAAAATCAAAACAATCTAAATACAATGGCTCTTTAACTTACATATGATAGAAAATAAACTCAATTTCTAGTCTTGAATAATGTAAATAAGTCATTTGCTAGTAAGGGCTTTAAAAAAATCTCACATGGCAAAACTAAACATAAA